TGAAGTATTCAAGCAGCGTCCCTCTTGGGAAGGACGCCAGATGCCTGTGACTCAGGCCCCTGAGGCCAGGAACTGAAGCTCCAGTCTTATCAACATAAGGCTGGATTATTGAAGTCAACACTGGAGCCCACAGTCAAGGGGCCGACACATCATCGGGACGAAGATCTGAATACCTGAGCAGTTGGCAAGTGAATGGAGTGTAGGGGAGGCAGAGCCCCAAGGAACACCACGGCACACCTGTGAGTACCCCGTCTTCGGGTCTATAGGGGAAGAGAACAGCACTGAACCCCCTCCTTCTTTATATATACCAACAAATCATGGCAGGAGAGTTGGGGGACCCCGACCGTGGGGGCGGAGTTATACTTGCAGTGCCTACTCGAGGTGTGACACCTGTGGTATGTACAGGAGACAGTAGGCTATTAATTAAACAGGCATAAAAATCTGTAACTTTCTTTCCTCCTTGTTTGCCTCTCCCTTACTAAGTTTCCTCCCTGCTGATTTTCCTTCTGCGGAGTCTTAGGGCATCTAAACATGTGCTCCGGGGTGGAGAGGGCTGGTGCTTTAATTACAGCAGCTCTGAAAACCATTCTAATTAAACCGCTTGTAGCATCACGTGTATTCAGTGTCCCGTGCTTCAAAATGGTGCGGGGGGGGAGCACTCTTTAATTAAAGTTCTTTTGACCAGTTTTAATTAAAGTGCCCCACCGCCATTTTGAAATGCAGGGATGCTGAATACGTGTGATGTGGAGGCTGTTGGAGCGTGCTAATTACCACGCTCTAGCAGATTTGATTAATTGAGTCTTCTCTGACATGTGCTAATTAGCATGCATTGGAGCAGAACTCCGTCATGTGTAGAGATGCCCTTAGATTTTATGACCGGCAGTCTAACTGCATGACACAGCCAACATACCCCAGCCCATTGATATCTGCATCAAACACGCCACTGTTCTTTCAGCTGGATGGTCTCTTATAAACCAAATGTCCCTTTCTGTCATTTGGAGACTACCAAATCCCTACATAGGTTGTTCCAATGATTAGTCAATCTTGTTCAAAATGCTTCAGCCTCCAACCCTTGCATTTGCTTCTCCTTTTTTCTGCTAGGGTAAGCAGCTGTCAATCAACAGAAATCTCTTCTTCATGTAGGTACTTGCAGGCTGTGATCAAGTCACCTCTTAAAATTCTTTTGGATAAACTGAAGAGTAAGCTTTTTAAGTCTCTTCTTAAGTCATTTAAGACATGCTTTCCATCTTAGAATCATTTTTTAGTTCTTTTCCAAACAGTTGTTTTATTATGCTGCTTGAAGTATAATATTCACTGGACACCAGTAAAGGTCTCACTGATGCAGTGATTCTGAATCAGGGTGCCACAGCAGTCTGGTATGGAAATATGATTCACAGGATAAACCCAGAGATTTCAAATAGGAATCCACGCTGTTAAAAACATTCTGGCCTATGAATTTCTGAGTTCTTTGCAACAGAAAAGTTGTTCTATTATTTTTCTACACTTAAAAATGAGTGAAAACTAAGAGATATTTTTGTTTTAAGAGGTGCCATGAGTCTAATGAGGACTGCCTTGAATCCAGAAAGGTTGAGAAGAATCACTGTTCTAATGCCATATACAGTGGTAACACCACCACTCTAATCCTATTTGATAGTCTCCTTGCTATGCATCCAAAGATTGTATTCACATCCTTGGTCAAACCCATGAAGAGTCCATGTCCAGTTGATTATCTGCTATTACCCCCC